TTGGTAGGTCCCAGGTCTGTCTTATAGGCCTCTTTGTGCTGAGGGGAGAGAATTAAAATGAAGCCAAGCTGATCATAATAGCTGGTTTCAACTTCATCAAGAACCATGCTGCAAACATTTAAATTGAACTTAAGATTTTTTTATTGGGTAGACTTGAATGAAGCTCCACACATTCTTATAAAATACACTTCTGAAATAAATGAATAAAAAAATATTGAACTAACAATTACAGAAAATACAGGGGAATCCTAAAGAATTTAGAATTCTAAAGAAGCTGTGAAAGGAAGAGAAAAGTTAAGTCAGAAACTGGCACATAAGTTCTTATTTAGCTCCTCTTCATTTCAATGAGTTTTACACAAGAGAAATTCAAATTGACTAAGTCCTAGACCTAATATATAAAACTGAATGGAAATCAATGAAACAACAACAACAAAAAAAACAATTGTCAGGTATCGTATTAGTGGGGCAATATAAAACAAAAACAAAAAGGCTGTGATTGCACTCCCCTTATGCTGCATTCATGGGTTTGATAGGGATGAGAGGTGAGAAAGTGTAGAGAGGAAGTAGGGAAGTGAGAGGAGAGGGGGAGGGGAAGAGAGTAGGATGGGAGGTGAGAAAGAGGAGGGAAGTAGGGAATGTTTCAAGAGAGGGTGGATGCAACGGGGGGGGGGAGTGGGCAGATCGTACTAATGGTTATGAATTTATTTTATTTCAAAATTGTATTGTATTTTTTTTTAATGTTTACATGGAAAAAATAAAGAACTTTTAATAAAAAAAGAGGTTGTGATTGAAGTCCCATCTTTTTTTACATATGCACATAAAAATGGGTGGTGCTTAAAGTAGGCCATGGTAGCCACCATCTTAACCTTTTTGATAGTCCCCACCAGCAGATACCCCTGCTGTCATATGTTTCCTTCTAAGGAATCTTAGAACCAATCATGATCAAACAGTATTGTCGGATAACATCGGATGTTCTTGCTTGACATAAATGAAGAAGCAAACCTGTTTTATTTAATCTGTATATCACTTCTAGAGTTAAAATCAAACAATGTTAGAATAGCGGGTGGGAAAATATGTAATTGGGGAATAGTTAGCCACAACATATTTCAGTACAGTATTTCCAAGGTCAGATGTAACTAGAGGAGTTACAGGAGGGAAAGTTCGCACTTCAAACTAATTGGAAAATGTGATTGATGACTATTAAATGAAGGAGTGAGTTATGCTTTGTTATGGGTGATTGGGGGAGGGAGGATTCAGTTTTTGGCTTCATTATGTACATGCCGAAGCTATGTAGCAATAAAAGGATTCTTTAAGGTAAACAAAGCCTCAAAGTTCTTTGAAAAGCTGCTTCTTTCGGAACTATGACAAGTATCTTATGAAGCATGCTAGATGTTCCTCAGAAAATTCTCTCTTAGAAAGACATTGATTTGAAATTTTGTTCAGGAACACAGCACAGGTGAGGAAGCTGAGTATTACTGATAATTGTCTGGCCATCATGAGTATAATTCATCAACCTATGGAGGATCAGAAGTTCCCCATTTCTAATAATGGAAAAACAGAATTATAGAATTGAAAAAGATCTACAGATTCTCTGGACAACCTTTAAGTGCTTGAAAACATTAAATGAAGTAATCATTTCCTTACAGCAATTTATTATTTGTATTTATTAGCTGGTTTATTTACTTAAATGTTTATCTTCTGCCATTGTGTAATTGGTCTGCTGTTCATTAAAAATGTCTAACTGTATTTTCTAACAACCACTACCAAAAGACCTCAGATGACTGGGTATTTGAAGGATATCAACTGACTTCATTGATTATGCTGAGCTACAATATTGGATCATGGTTTAGCATATTCTCCAGATGCAGCAAATATGGCTTGCAAACCAAGCTTAGCATGAACTGAGACAAGAGTGGTTTATTCAATAAATAAAATTAAGCAAGACATTGCTTATGTAATGGGGGACACTAGCACAGATAAAGCTGTACCAATAGAAGAGAATATTTATAGCTCAGGATTAAATTGTGGAGTCCTTGGTGCTCTAGCACTGATGATGTTACCTAGTTTGGTAATGAAACATCTGCAAGAAAACAACGAAGCTTAGAGAGCACCAAAGGCCCCACGAATAAAGCTGTAGTTCACTGGATTGACTTTAAAGATCTGTTCGAATCCAAATCTGAATTGAGACAGATTTTTTAAAAAAACAAACAAACTGAGAATATCAATTCAAGAAAGCAAATAAGTACTAGGGTACAAAAAACTTGGAAATTAAGCCAACTTTTCCAAATATTATGCTGTCTTGATGTCTTCTTAACTGTGGTGGGAAAGGCTGCCTCACATTTTATTTTAAAAAGGAGACAACAAACACTCTATACTTGGTTTTTTTTAAATGAGTGTGACATGATTACTGCATATAATTTAAAGACTGAAGCTCTATTAGAGAAGTTTAGTTACACAGGCTTTTAGAAGGTGATAATATTCCTGATCAACCTTGTCTTGTCTCAGGGTTGATCTGCTTTGTCCTGAGATGGGAGACCTGCAAGACTATAAACTAGCCTGGGAAGAAGAGAGTGACATATCATGAGTGTGTTTTTGTCAAGAAAATAACAGGAACACATGCATGAAGTCACCTAGAGTCCACCTTGATTTGAGGGTATCTTAACTTAGTTCCATAAGACCTGGGTTTTTTATTAGTCTGCAAGATTCTCCAATCTTGAGTCCCTCACTCCAGTCCAGCCCATGACAAAATACCTCTGTGCAAAGTTCCCCTTGTTTTTGAAAACAAGCATGGTCAAATGGGCTCAAAATTTTGATGAGCCAGTTTTATTAGAAACATGGGAGATAATTTGGGTGAGGAATGTTAAATTTACGCAAACTCAAAATTTACGGGAAAATTTTTATAAAATGTTTTATAGATGGCACCTTGATCCACAAAAGATGTCTCGTATGTATTCAAATTTGCAACCTAAATGTTGGAGATGTGGTTGTTTGGATGCAACGTATTATCATATTTGGTGGTCATGCAAAAGTATAAAAGCTTTTTGGATAAAGATATGGTGGAATATTCAAAAAATTTTTAAGAGAAGGATAAAATTCACTCCACAATTGTTTTTGTTAGGTATTATTGTTGATTGTGATGATAAAGAAATTATTTTAATATTAAATTTAATTACAGCGGCAAGGTTGTTGATAGGACAATATTGGAAGAAGGAATTTTTGCCTACTTTGGAGGAATGATTTTTTAAAGTTTCTTATTTATCTGAAATGGCAAAAATTCCGGCTTATTTGAAAGATCAATCGCAAGAGAAATATCTCTTGGTGTGAAAAAGATGGATAAACTTTATACAGTATAAGTATGATATTAAAAGATATTATTTAGCTTTTGAATAATTTATGTTTAAAGTTTAAAGTTTAAGATAATGTATTTATTATTATGTATATATATATTGGACTTTTTTATTATATATATATATTGGACTTTTTTTTAATGTAATTTTTGTTTGAGGTTTACTTAAGTTTAAATGTTTTGTATTTTTAGTTCTAGCTAACCCTGTATTCAGCTCTGGGAAGAGGGGGGGGGAGGGTTTTTGGGAGGGTAGGGAGGTAGTGGGAGAGGGATTTTATTGTAAAATTGCAAAAACTTTCAATAAAAAAAAACAAATAGGGATGCCTTTCTACTATTTTCAGAAAACACATATTTGGTCTTCTAATTTTGTGTCTCACAGGGGCAAAGATAAATGAAGTGTGGGAGAGGAACAATCTTGCCAAACATCTTCATTAAGTCTATGAGTTCTCAATCTCAGTGAGTTTAAGAAACATTGTATAGTATGTTATCTCAAGGCTAATGAGAAAAGAGATTGCCTTCAGAAAGCCATTTCAGCATCAAGAGTAAAATTATTCAGGATCAAATGTTATTTACCCTAGAAAAAAATGTAAAAGTTACGTAATAAGATGAACTATTTTAACCTGCCAAGTTCTCTGAAATCCACTGGAACCTACAGAAACAAACCTTTAATATATGAGCAAGGACAGGCAAAGCATAATACTATTTCCTACTTAATATATGTTATATAACTCAAAATTTAAACTCTTATATTTATACATTTTGTACATTGTGTCTATCAGATATTTCCATTTTGCCTTTATCTTAATCCAGAGACTTTTTAGAAAGGAAAAAATACCCTCTCCTATGGCTATTTTAAACTTAGTATTTCTGAAGTGATGCAAAGGACAAAGCACTGCAGAATAATTGGAAAGGTCTCTGAATGAAATAAAAGCATTTAAACCTACATATATCTTACTGCCAGCTATATCAGCTCTTTGGGGGTGCCCATATAAAGCCTTTCTTTTGTAGACATCCCAGAGAGATGATTTAATGAAAAATCTGATTTAATAAAATCTGAGTTAAAAAAAAGAAAATCTAGTTAGGATATTCCTACATGTGTACACAAAAGCCATTCACACAGCACTTCTGAGCATGACTCAGCCAAGCAATTTGCAGCATCATAAAGAAAATTAGCAAACAGAACTTTTGTTAGTATACTTTCTTTCTGGCAATGGGGATTAAGACTTTCTTCTACAATATAGACTCAAACCCTGATCAATGCTCATCATTCTTCAAACACAGCCCCTCACAGACCCTTCTTCACCTGGAAATCTGTCAACCATCCACCTCCCATCAACCTTTTAATCCTCTAAAAGAAGAGGGAAAATGAAAAAAAATGTTCTTAGTGAAACTGGGCTGGGCCAATGTTTTAGTTTCTCTCTGCTTTCGGATCTGCCATACCTATGGCTTACAAGAAAGCAGGAGAAATGAGATGCTGAGGACTTTCAGAAGAGGAGAGAAAGAAATCTCTCTTTCACTCCTCTATCTTCCACTCATCCCTCATATATGAACAAGGGACATCATAACATAATGATCAGCGTATAGAGCAGGGGTAGGCAACCTTGGCTCTTTTATGACTCGTGGACTTCAACTCCCAGAATTCCTGAGCCAGCATGGCTGGCTCAGGAATTCTGGGAGTTGAAGTCCTCGAGTCATAAAAGAGCCAAGGTTGCCTACCCCTGGTATAGAGGATATAGGATACATCTATCCTGTAGGATAATGAGACATACCCAACAATGCCTATGTAAATCATAAAAACTATCTGCTCCAGAAGAGGCCTAAGAGGTGATTCTATCTTCTACTCTCTATTTAGGAGTTATGTCTATGGAGATTCTCAATCATCTGAGTCATGGTGGTCCAAAGGTGCTTTTTCAAATGGCAACTGGGCTTTCCTGGTTTTTCCCTGAAGACCTTTTGCTTCTCATCTAAACTGAACTGAAAAGGTTTCTGGGATGAGAAGTGAAATGTCTTCAAGGGAAGGCAAAGAAAGTCCCATTTAGGAGGAACTTTCTCCTAACTTATTGAAGGCTGGGGACACCTAAGAAGAGTCCTTAAGGGGCTCTGATACTTTGCCATTGGCATCCCCAGTCGCCTGTGAAGTGGACCCTGTCTCAGCCTCTCCACAAAGCAGCTGCTCTGTTTCCCCCATGCCTCCCTTCCCATTCATGTCTTCCATAGCTATTGAAGGCACCCTAGACTGACGCTTCCCAAAGAAAGTCACAAGAGTCCCACGCCGGGTTTCCCCTTCCCCTACAGCCCCCACCTGTTGCTCCACGTCCTTATCCAAACCTGTATCATCTGGCAATGTTGCTTGTCCAGGCCATTCTGGGGCATTGAAGCTGGTAGAGCCAGAATGACGGCGACGCCTAAAGTACAGGAAAGCTATGAGGCCGACAAGCAGCAGGATGGAGACAACAACGACCAAAATGATGACAGGACGTTTCGTCTCTGAAGGACTTTGATCAGCAGTGTCAGATTTTGATGCATTGTTGGTAGATGTCACCAATGTGGTGAAAGGACCAGATGGATGGTGGCTGCCGGTCTCAGGAGTCTGAGTTAATTCTGGGACAGCTTGATCCGGTGATATTGGTCCTTTTCTGCCCTGTTTTGATTTTGTGCTCTTTGTAGTTTCTGTGTAGGCGATTGTGTGGGATGATTGCTCAAGGAAGCTCCCTTGGGATCTGGTTCCAAAATCCTTTGTTGGAGAAGATACCTTCTCACTATCAAAGTGTGGTGTGATAGTCATTTTAGAGGAAATTTCCTTCTGACCAAGAGGTGTTGTGGATTCTCGTACCTCCGCTGCTTCTCTATCAAAGTGTGGTGTGACAGTCATTTTAGAGGAAACTTCCTTTTGACCAAGAGGTGTTGTGGATTCTCGTACCTCCGCTGCTTCTCTATGAGATTTTTTTCCTTCAGTAGAGACAGTGACAGTACTTGGCATAGGGGAGGAAGTGTCTTCTGGGGCAACAGCGTTCATGACAGTGGAAGAATGTAGTTCCTGTTTTGAGACTGGAGGTGCCGCTCTGAGGGATGATGCTGGTTGCACTGAAGTGCTCATACTTCTGCTAAGAATGCCAGACATGGTGGCATCAAGAGATGACATAACAGGTGTCATGGAAATCACCTTAGGAGATACTACAAAAGATGAGTTGCTTATATTTAAACTGGATGTCGTACTTACATAGGTGGCCACATTTTGGGGGTCAATGACCTCACTTGTATTTTGTCCCTCTATAAGAATATCTGTGGGAAAAAGTAGGAAGACAACAAAGAGCATCTTGTGGCCAATTACTTGCTGGAACAAGAATCTTGATTTTTCCATGGTAGCAGAATTCCCGAGTCCAGGCCCTCTTGATGTGGAATAAGTAATGGCTATAAAGAATCTGGGAACAAAAAATGTGACAAGTTGTAAAAGAAAATTGTATACTTAAGACAGAGGAGCAAAACTATAGAATGACTTGAAAGCTTCAGTCTGAGGAGAATGGCCTAAACTGGCAAAGGGCTGTACCCAAGGATTTTTTATATGCCCAGAGTATTTGGAGATCCATATCCAAAGATATGCCTATGTTGATGCAAAGAGAACCATATGGCTCTTTCCTGTTAAGTTTTGGATAGAGATGAGGAATTGCAAGCACTAGCTCACTCTGGCTCAGATTTTTTGATGCCCCTCCATCCACCCACCCACCCATACCTCTGGTGGTCCAAAGGTATGTTTCCCTAGTTCCATGTCATGTGTGAATACTGAAGAAGAGACACCTTACCAATGATACACAACTTACAATCCACCTTCAGAAAATGCATTCCAAAATCTAGAGTTAAAAATAGGCTTGTGAGCAGGCGGTGAAAGAGTGGAACTGTAATCTTAAAGCAAAGAACAGGAGATCCTCTTTAGGTGACTTTAAGCCACGTTTCATCACTGGAGATTGGCTGTGAATTATCAACAGGTCTGTGTGAATTGTGAGTTCTGCAGAAAAACTGCTGAATGTGACAAGGGGTGCAGAACTCAGCTTTATGAAGCCATATAATTAGTCACCAGTGTTACATCTGTAAAATGGAACAATACTTGGTGTTCAGTCCCTTTTCACGTCACTCTCGATCTGGTAGCCAACATGCAACCACATGGCTAAAAGTCCAGAGATGCGACATGCCCTTTTCCTAAAAGAACATTTTGACTTCCAACCACTAGGTGGCAATAGCAGATAGAGTTTACATTTGCCCTATGTAAACTGTGAGGAAATAGTGAAGTTAGGCAAGAAAGAATTCTCCGCCCAGGGATGACATCAGCTGGAAGCCAGGGCTAACACACATAGTAAACAGGAAAAAATAAATTATTTCTGAAAGAATTAGGGTTTGTTTGTTTTTTAAAAAAATCTTTGGTTCCTTTGCCTCAAGAGTGGGCCAAAGATGAGTATGGCCCAAGGAACCAAGAACGAGATGTAGAGTTACTTCCAAGTCATTTCTTTGGCAAACAGGAAAAATAAATTATTTCTGAAAGAAAGAGGGGACTATGTTTCTTCTTGAGGAAGAAATGTTTTTTCCTTGAAGAAAACGATGTAGGAAGAGATTTCTTTCTTCAAGGGAAAAACATTTCTTCCTCAATGAGAAAAAGCATAGCCCAGTTTCTTTTTGGAAAAAAAAAAAGCACCTTTCAGATAACCATGACCTGGATGACTGAGAATCTCCATAGATATTGACAAAAACCTTACCAGACTAAAGCTACTATCTGCATAACTACTACATATTGTTAGGGAGGGTCTGCCTTCACCTTCTTTCTGCATATGAAAGACTCCAAGTTTCTCTGTCTCTTTGCTCTCTCCCTCCTGTAACTCTAGACTATGTTCCACCCCATTTCCTCTGTAATTTTCCAGTTGTTTTCCTTGAAGAAGAATATTTTTTTTAAAAAAAAACCATTTTATTATCTCCAACTCATTTACAGAAGATGAATGTGGTGACTACTTATGTTCATTAATGAATGAACAAAGGGAACAGAATAACCTTAAAAAGTTGACCCTTCCATTCTTCACTGGTCAGTTAGAACTGAAGAAACTTCTCGGATGAGAAGTAAAATGTTTTACTTCTCAAAGCCCCAAGAAAATCCAGTTGCCTTTGAGGGGGGGGGGTAGGAAGCACCTTTGGGACAACCATGATCCGGACGATTGAGAATCTCCATAAACAATTGACCCTGTGTTTTGAAGTCTTTTTTCCTGCTCTTTAGGAGGCAATTGTTACACATCCCATGGACCGCAAAAATAACAAACAAAGAAGTCCTAGCCCGAATCTCACCAAAAATATCACTTGAAGCCAGGATCACCAAACAGAGGCTGTCATACTTTGGTCATGTCATGAGAGATGATTCACTCAAAAAGTCAGTCATGCTGGGGGTGATCAGCAGGAAAAGGAGAAGGGGCCACCCTAGTACAGCCTGGCCAAACACTATAAAGGATGACACCAGGATGATCATTGCAGATCTGAAGGAGACAGAGGGTGTAAGACAGAGGGGCATGGAGAGCGCTGATCCATAAAGTGGCCGAGAGTTGGACATGACTGAATGGCTGACAATGACAATGACACCAAAGTCTGAAGAAAAAAAACAAGGCGTATTTATTCAAGCCTTGACAAACAACACTTGGAAGCAATTTGTTGCTGCAAAGTGAGTGTAGAGTTCTCCGTCTATTGTGTAATCATTCTCTCAGCCACATGGAGGGGCCTGGCTTTGTGACAGAGCCATGGAAGGGAAGTCTAGTAGAGAAGATGAAGGTGTCTGGATATAAATGGCAAAGAATCTCTCATAAACAGCCAAGGGACTGCCACCAACCTTCAGAGAGACTGGAGGTCCTATAGGGCTTCTTAGTGGTATAGCCTCTGTGAGGCCAAACCCATATAAAACATGTGAGTTTTGCAACATGCAAGGTCATGTGTGTTGCTCACCCATTTGAACCATCATCTTCTTCACCTTCCAAGTAGACTCTCATGTTGGAGACAAAGTTGAAGAAGAGATGATAGCACCATGAGTTTGTCAGCCTGAAGGCGGACCTCTTTGCAGCTTTCCTTGCTGTTTCACAGGGCAGGAAATTTCCTACCAACACCACACTCAACACAACTGAATGAGAATTGTTTGGAGACCTTTCTTCATACATGAGGAGAGGAGAGGAAAGGAAAGGAAAGGAAAGGAGAGGAAAGAGGGGGGGGGGAAGGAGAGGGAGATATTTATTTTAAGAAAGTACAATAGAAAGCTGGACAGAAAAATAAGTCCCAAACTGTCCACAGGAAACCTTCAACTATAGTTAAAAACTAGGAGAGCAGAAACTTTCAAGTGCTCATACATTTAATGAAGATGTTTGGCAAGATTACAAGGAAATAGAAACTAAAAAACAGCTTTCTAGTGTTGCAACTGCTTATCTTTCTCAAGACTCTCTTCGTTTACTCCTATGTTGAAAAGACATCTGTCTATTTCTCTTTGCTTAGGAAGTGACGGTTTTTAAAATCTTTTAAAGAAATATTAAATATTATGTTTAAAATTTCGTCACCATCAAATGGGAGTTCCCCCCCCCCGCCCCAGATTTTAGCCTGGATGACTACTGAAGCATTTTTTATCTTTTTGTCCTTAGGGCAGTCTCCCTCCCCCCCCCGTGACCTTTATCAAGGTCATTAAAACTCCATTATCTCGCCTTGCAATACACACCATGCTAGGGTATTGAAACTGTTTTGCTAACAGTAGATCATTAAAGTTAAAATACCAAGTGTATTTGGATAATGGAAGACAAATCTAGAAGAGAACAACATAACTGGAGCATTTAGAGAGTTTTGAAAATAAAATATTGTGTTCTAAAGATGAAAGGCCTTTGATAACTATTCTATATGCCACTAAACCCTATATGACTTGCACTTGCCTCAGAGCCGGTACTTTTTCTTATAAACCTGCTGCCTTTTCTTCTTCATTTGGTAACTCCATCCCCAGAGACCAGGAGGCAAACAAGCCCCTATAGCAGGTGTTTCCAAACTTGGCAACTTTAAGACTTGTGGACATCAGCTCTCAGAATTCTATGCTATGCTGGCTGAGGAATTCTGGGAGTTGAAGTCCACAAGTCTTAACGTTGCCTGGTTTGGAGACCCCTGCCCTATAGGAATCCCCACATGCAGTTATGTTCTAAGCCAAATGAAGCAGTTGACATATAGTCTCTTCCACCAGCAAGAGAAAAATGCCCCATTTTGGCCTGAAGTATTCATGGCTTATCTTCATCTATACATCACCAGTTGTTTTAAATGTCAGGTTGGAGAATTAACCTGACTTGCTCAGCAGAAGGGGCGTCCTACAAGCACCAGAAGCCAGGGAGGGTGTTGTCACTTCTGCAACTGGGATTTGGTGACAGGGTGACAGGCTAGGCCATCACATCATGGCAAGGTTCTTGATCAACAGGAAAGATGCTAAGTGGCCCAATTGGAGCTGTCCCATTAATAAAAGCTGGGATCCAGAGTAATCCGGATTTGAAGGTTGAAAAGTAAGAAGCTCGTGGGGAAATGAAGATAATCAGGACAATGTTTCTCAACCTCAGCAACTTGAAGATGTGTGAACTTCAAGTCCCAGAATCCCCCAGCCATGCTGGGAGTTGAAGTCCACACATTTTAAACTAGTGGAGATTGGGGAATATTGCATTAGGAGACTAAAAATCAGAGAAGTAAGAGAATCGGTCTCACTAAAGTAACTGAGCTCAGCTGCCAGAGTTTTTAAGGAAAGCCACTGAGAATTTCTATTTCAGTCCTATTTTTCACATTCAACAAGCAGAGCTATGTCCTTAGCACTCTATTTGGGCAGAGAGACTCCAGTGGTGCTACTGTGGCATGGCTGGCCAGAAATGATTCAAGGAAAAATCTAGTCTAGCTGGAAGACTCGAGGTGAGGAGATTGGTACAAACAATATCATGGGTTGACGCCTTCCTCGTGGCAGCTCTGCTTTTTGCTGCATGCAAACACAAACCCCATCGCTTGCGGCATCTTATTTGCTGCACATCAGTGAGTTTTAGTGCAAGGATTTGGGAACAGGATATATCCGCCAAAGATTCGAGAGTGGTACCGAAGGAAGAACAGCGAGATCTGTAAGGTGGTCTGGATGACAATGCTTACCAGCCCCAAATATTTATTTTGTGAAGTCAAATCCCATCTCCATTTCCACCTCCCCACTGTACACCATCTGTTCTGGCTACCACATTCACTTCTGCCTTGACTAAACTTCCCTTCTAATGCAAACTGAAGCTTGTTTCTGGAAGGCTAGGAGAGAAGATCAGAAGGGGGGACCCTACATGCCAGCTTTCCTTTCAAATTTTTCTCAGCTCACTAACATCTCCTCTTCCAAATATGATGGAGGGAAACTTTGTCCCCAAACCAGTGTTCTCCAGACTATGTCAATCTGGTCTAGATGATGGGACTCAGAGCCCAGTTAATTGGAGAAGGCCTCGATTGGAGAAGACCTGCACTGTAGCTTGATTGAGCCTTACATTCCACATCATCTATTCCGCTAGATCATAACCCTAATCCACCTTGCAGGATTGTTGTGAATCCAAAATTGAGACATAGATATCCAACTACATTTGGTGATCAAGCATTTGGCTGAAGAACAACAATAAAACTTACACCTCTCTCTCTAGTAATACACTCACCTCCTTTACCTTGACTCCCTGCAACAACTTCCTACTGATATTTCTCCCCCCCCCATAATTTTGTAGGGAGTGAATAAGTAAGATGCATCCCACCCCCGCCTCCCTGCCCACCAACCCACCCTGCTATACCTTCTTCTAGGTTTCTTCAGAGAAAGCCAGGATGGGTCTCGGGATTTTCAAGGAAAAGTTCTTTTCTGCTAACCATGAACTGCCTCCATTTCCCCCCGTTCTCGCTTGATTGGGCAGGAAGGAGTGAATGAAACCAGAGCAGGTGGTGCTGCTGGAAAGTGTAGAAAAAGAAGAAGCTAACCGTTATATTCAGAGGAAGTGGCTTTGAGTGGTGGCAATCATGTCAATTCCACCCACTTCTGTAGCATCAGGTCTGTGGGACCAATCTGAGGCTGAAGACTTGGATAAGGTATTCAGGGTTGAAAAGAAGATTCTGTCCCCCCCCCGCCCCCCGTTTTGCCTTCTCTTGATATATCCCCAGAGTGGGCAAAAGATGAAAGAGTACTTCTGAGCAGATACAAAGCACATTTCCCTAGACAAAGGCTCCAGAAGTGTCTGTGCCTCACCGTTTCTACCAAAAGCAAAAAGTTAGGCAACTGCATAAAAGTGACACAAAACCCAAGTCATTTGTTCATTTCGGCCAACTTCCTGTGTTTTTTCAGAGTTGCAAAGGTGAGTCATATGCAAGTACACAGAAATGTGCACCCTCATCTATACAGGGAAGAGATCGAGCAGAGGGACCAGAAATGGACAAATGAAATTGCAGGCGGAGCTGAACATTTGAGCAACCAGCACCCAGGGACCAATCCCAGGTTTTCAGGTGAGACTTGCAAGGAGTTAGCAGAAGGAAGAGATTTTTAGCTTACCAATCCACAGTCTTGATTGGTCTACAAGCAGCAGCTCTTTGTACGCCTGAAGCACATGAAAGAAGAAGAAGTAATACATCTCAAAAGCTTGCATGTCTTATCATTGCTTGCATGTCTTCCTCTTATCAAGGGTGGGTCCTCCCGCTCCTGAGTTCCTCAGAACCAGGCTAGTTCCTCCAAACAAGTCTTAGAGACTCTATAGATGTCCTGGTAACTACAACAGAGAGAGCTTTTTAATGGTGCCCCCCCAAAAAAAATTTCAACACTCTGTGCCCACTGAGGCTGGCCAAAGAGATGGAACTATTCAAAATTATTCATCATTGTTCCATAGAGGCAATTGAAGATCTTTTTCAATAAAAAAAGCATTTAATCTTTGCAGTTGTTATCATATTAAATGCCAGTTCAGTGGTCTTGAAACTTGCTGAGATTCTACTCTTTGGCCAGGGATGGGGATGGGAGAGTCACTACTAATAAGTTCTTTCTGTTGTGGTCACCAGGACATTATTTCCCCACTAATATGTAGTCTTCCCTTACTGATGTCTAAACTAAGCAACTCTGGAGTGGACGTCCCAAAGATGCTTTTTCACGAGGCAACTGGACTTCCTTGTTTTTCTTTGAAGACGTTTTGCTTCTCATCCAAGAAGTTTCTTCAGCTCTGACTGGATGGTGGGGAATAGAAGGATTTATATTCCTTACAGACAGCTGGCCATTTGCATTCTTTTAGAGAGTCGTTGAGGTCACCTGGAGGTTTTATCTGTGTCCTCAATGTCACCTGAATGTGCAAATGTATGTGGAGCCTTCTTGGAACTGTTGAAAGGACTGTGTTGTAGACTGGAGTTAGATGGTGTCATATCCCTTCCACTCTTCAGAGAGGGCTGTTCAGTTTTGACATAGATGGCCTCTTTGACCCCTCTTTTAAACCAGCAGTCCTCTATGTCCAAAATGTGGACTTTGCTGTCTGCTGAATGCAGAGGGGCTGTGAATCTTATCCTGATGGGTTCTCCTATGTTGTGCCTGCATTTACGAAGCATTTTTTTTATTTCTCCAATGTACAGATCTGCACATGGATCTGGAGTGGATGGACTGAGAGTGGTTAAAGGGCTACGATCACATTTAAGCCCAAAATTTCCAGTGCTAAGCAAGATAGTTGTTAAGTGAGTCTTGCCTTATTTTACAACCTTTTATCACAGTTATTAAATGTATCACTGGAGTTGTTATAGGAATTGCGCAATCATTAAGCAAATCTGGCCTCCCCCACTGACCTTGCTTGTCGGAAGCTGGCTGAGAAGGTGATACATGGCGATTATATGACATGATCCCAGGATACATATGACCCTAGGACAGCTCAGCTTGCCCAATTAGAGGTAGTCCTTGACTTACAACCACAACTGAGCCCAAAATTTCCATTGCTAAACAAGACAGTTATTAAGTGAGTTTTGCTCCATTTCATAACATTTCTTGCCAGAATTGTTAAGCAGTTGTTAAGTTAGTAACACAGTAGTTAATTGAATCTGGCTTCCCTATTGACTTTGTTTGTCATAAGTTCGCAAACGTCAGTCACATGATCCAGGACACTGCAATTGTCATAAATACATGCCAGTTACCCAGTGTCCAAATTTTGATCATGTGACCCTGGGGATGCTGCAACAGTCTTAAGTGTGAAAAATGGTCATAAGTCATTTTTTACGTGCCATTGTAACTTCAAATGGTCACTAAATGAACTGTTGTAAGTTGACGACTGCCTGTAGTTGGGTTTTGTTCAGTTTATTATTCTTATTATAATTCCAAACAACAGAGGAAAAGAAACAATACTAACACTACTTAAAAAGAACATAAGAAATATAAGCAAAAAGGGGGGGGGATAAGCCAATACAAACATAGAGGCGGACTGCCACCTTGAATAACAAGCAGATCTAAATTGTGATATGCTTAATATAGTCTAATGTGCCATTAATGCTTTAACATACTATAAAGGATTTCATATTCAGCTTTCAGTCAAGCCATGTCTTCATTGATCTGAAAAAAAGGTTTAATTAGCACAGTTAAAATCAATAAAGGAAGAAGAAAAATTATAAATAATAAACAATATATTGAAGTAATTCTTTAAATAATATATAATATATAAACTAGATTAAAATATAAACTCTAGAAGCCAAATCTGAGCTGTGGTACAATATATAACAACAATATATACAAATTGGAATCCTGAAATGGTTACCAAATAAGACTAACTTCTATATCAGAGTTACTTTTCCAATATGAAGTTATTCTAGATATCAAAGCATACACCCATAATTTAATTAATCATTGTTCCGTAGAGGGGATCAGAAATCTTTTCCAATAAAAACTGTATAATCATTGGTGGGATTCATATATGTGAACAACCGGTTCTCTCTGTTGATGCCACTCCTGGAAGTGCGTTCTGGGCCTGGGCAACAAAAAATTAGCTACCAGTTCTGCCGAAGTGATGCGAACCAGCTGAATCCCATCACTGCATATAATCCTGCAACTGCATATAATCCTGCAATCATATGTACTTTAATGTCAGTTCAGTGTGTGTGTGTGTGTGTGTGTGTGTGTGTATAAAGGGTGTTTTAGCAAAGGTTAATAAAAATAAGTCTAGCTGAAATATAATTATGCCTTTCTTCCTTTCTATGATGAATTTGTTTCCAATATTGTTGCAACATTGTCACCACAAATGGAAGAAAGGGAGTTTACATGTTTTTGCAATTTTGACCGCAGTAAAGATTTCTGATGTAAAATATCTTATACTAGTTCTTCTTAAATATAATATTTATAGTAAAGTTAATATACTTTTTCCATTGAAATTCCCATAGTCCATTTAGCAGAATAGCAGAGTTGGAAGGGACGGTGGAGGTTTCTAGTCCAACCCCCTGCTCAGGTAGGAAACCTTATACCATTTCAGACAAATGGCTGTCTTAAAAACCTCCAGTGTTGGAGTACCCACAACTTCTGGAGGCAAGTTGTTCCACTGGTTAATTGTTCTAACTGTCAGGAAATTTCTCCTTAGTTCTGGGTTGCTTCTCTCTTTGGTTAGTTTCCATCTGTTGCTTCTTGTCCTGCCTGTCAGAATAGGTTGACCCCCCCCCTCTATTCTGTGGCAGCCCCTTAAATATTGAAACACTGCTTTAATGTCACCCCCCCCCCCAGTCTTTCTTTTCAGTAAAGTAGACATACTCAATTCCAGCAATCATTCGTTATATGTGTTAAGATTCATGGTGGCACAGTGGTTAGAATGCAGTATTGCAGGCTAACTCTGCTCACTGCCAGGAGTTTGATCCTCACCCTCTCAAGGTTTACTCAGCCTTGCATACTTCCGAGGTCAGTAAAATGAGGACCCAGATTGTTGGGGGCAATATGCTAACTTTATAAACCGCTTAGAGATGACTGTAAAACACTATGAAGCAGTATATAAGTCTAAGTCAGTGGCTCCCAACCTCTTCTATACCTCGCACCTCTAGAATGCTTCTGATATATTCTCGCACCCTTACAAAGGTCGAAATAATGGCAACGAATTATGCATATACACTATAATTTTGAAAACTCAAGTTTTTGCATCTCCTGGAATATTGTCTCGCACCCCAGTTGGGAACCCCTAGTCTAGGGATAGGCAACCTTGGCTCTTTTATGACTCGTGGACTTCAACTCCCATTCTGGCTCAGGAATTCTGGGAGTTGGTCCACGAGTCATAAAAGAGCCAGGGTTGCCTACCCCTGCCCTAGTCTAAATGCTATTGCTATATGTTTTAGCCTCCAATCCTCTCTTGGCTGCTCTTCTCTATATTCTTTCTAGAGTCCAAACATCTTTTTTACATTGTGATGACCAAAACTGGGTGCAGTATTCCAATTGTGGTCTTACCAAGGCATTATAAAGATACTGTATTCTAATATTACATCCATGTAATCATGCAATGTCATGCAAAATTCTGAAATGCAGAGCACATGCAAAAACGGAACCATATTTATTGCAAAGGGAGGGGTCCCTGCTTTGCAAGAACGAGGGACCTGGAACAATGACAAAACAAAGACTTTTTTTTTTTACATAGAAGCTGGGAGCCACATGGAATCTGACAAGACCGAGCGGCTCTGGGTCTTGCCCCCCCAAGGGTCATCCTGATGGTCCATCATTGGTCCTGGTGGGGAGGTAAACTTACCTCCCTCAGTGCAGGCACGCAACTTGGGTGTCCTCCTGGACTCACAGCTAAATTTGGAACAACATCTATCGGCTGTGGCCAGGGGGACCTTTGCCCAGGTTTGCCTGGTGCACCAGTTGTGGCCTTATTTGGACCGGGAGGCTCTACTCACGGTTACTCATGCCCTTGTCACCTCAAGACTGGATTACTGTAATGCGCTCTACATGGGGCTACCCTTGAAGAGCGTTCGGAGGCTGCAGTTGGTTCAGAATGCAGCCGCGAGAGCGATTGTGGGTGCACCAAGGTACACCCATGTGTCACCTATCCTCTGTGAGCTGCACTGGCTTCCTGTGGGTCTCCAGATGCAATTCAAGGTGTTGGTTATCACCTTTAAAGCCCTTCATGGCTTAGGACCAGGTTACTTACAGGACCGTATACTGCCGCATAGTTCCCAGAGACCGGTGAGGTCCCACAGATTGGGCCTCCTTCAGGTCCCGTTGGCCAGACAATGTCAGCCGGCGGGCCCTCGGGGAAGGGCCTTTTCTGTGGTGGCTCCAATGTGGTGGAATCAACTTCCCCCCGCGATTCGAACTACTCCCACCTTGCCGGCCTTCAAGAAAGCCATTAAAACTCTCCTGTTCCGGCAGGCCTGGGGTTGATGTCCCCGGGGGGGCCAGGACACGATTGGGACATGCTGTATGAATGCACTCCTTTTTATTGTTATATTTATTGTTTTAATTTTGTACGCCGCCCTGAGTCCCTAGGGATTGGGCGGCATATAAATTTTATTAATAAATAAATAAATCTGTCTGGCAATTTTGGGAGAAATTAGGTAGGTCATTGTTCAGGCATCCAGGGTTATTTCTATATTTAGGCAAAGCAGCCCTTTCAGAGGGCAGCAGAGCTGGGGCAATGTTAACAAGATACAATATGGAGATAATAAATTTAATAGATATATTTAAAAAATTAAGGGCACGTCCCTGATTGAGGATAAAAGGTTGGGGTGTCTCTAGATTGCAATTTCCCTGTAACAGTTACTCTTGGGTTTGCTGTGTGCTGGTGAGGAGGTTTTGATTCCTGGTCTAGTTGATGTGGCTGGATGAGGCTTTATTTGGGGCAGGGTCAACTTGAGCCTGATTAGGGTTAGAGAAATAGAGAAACAGGGATTGGCCCCAGGCACATCCAAAACACAGGCAGGAAAAAAAGTACACCCTCCATTTTATTTACAACATTCATTTTCTCCACCACAACAATATTTGACTCGTTGAGGTTCTGAGTTATGTTTCACCAATACATTATAAATCATGCCAAGTAAAAGTTCACTATGATGAGTTAGCCAATTTTCAAATTCAGCAAAATTTTCCCCTTATTCTCCATAATTCTCTTGTGCCTCTATGTCTTTTTTTGACAGTATTGAACAGCAAAAAACTGGAAAGATCTTAATTTTTGTCCTGTTAATGATAAAATCTTTACAGATTACTGACTTTTCACTGAGCAAAACATTTAGTGCTTTCATCACCATAAAAGTAGATATTCAGAATGAAAAAAGAGGGGAAAGACCTGGGCATATTCAAACCTTCAATATGTTTTCAGTTGTTTAAATTTAGTATTCTATGTTGTAAGCTCCCCAGAGTCCATATTAAATCTAATTAACAACAGCAATAATACAAGTAGCCCTTGACTTGCAACTATTTGTTTGGTGACCATTCAAACTTACAACAGCACTGAAGAAAAGTGACTTATGACACTTGAAGTTGCAGCATCCCCATGGATGGTCAAGTGATCAAAATTTGGACATTTGGCACTTGGCTTGTATTTATGACTGTTGCTGTGTCCATCGGTCATGTGATCAGCTTTTGTGACCTGACAAAGTCAATGGAGAAATCAGATTCATTTCACAATCATGTTACTAATGTAACTGCAGTGATTCATTTAACAACTGTGGCAAGAAAGGTTGTAAAATGAGGCAAAATTCACTTAGCCACTGTCTTGCTTAGTAATGAAAATTTGGGGCTCCATTGTGGCTGTAAGTGGAGGACTAGAAACAATGCATTGTCTATTGAAAATAGCTTATTTCTATGAATATAACCCAGATTTATTTGAGTAGTCCCTGGAAAGCTTCTGCCTCTTGCATTGAGGAGGTAGAATGATAAAGAAATATGATCTGCTCTGGAATTCAGGTTGGGCAGCTGGCATGAAAATAGAATCTGAAGTTTGGGGACACTTCCATCTTTTGAATTTTGCAAGTTCTGGAATGTAATCCTTGGCCTTTTGTTAGCTCATATATAATCCATTCTTTCTCTGTGCCAGTTATTTAATACTTTATTGTCGATAGAAATGGGAATAGTTGGGGTTTTATGGATCTTCCTTCCCATTTTCTTCCTACCTATTACTGCATTTCATTTTTATCTTATCTTGTTTCAGTCTGTGGAGAGATTACTTTCCTGAAACCAGAAGCAATCAAACCCAGTTTTTTAACACATAATTGCAGTCTGGGTCAACTCTGCTGGGCAATCATGTCAACCAATTTCTTGCAGGCAGTAACCTGAAAATGGATTGGGAGATGAGCAACTAAATTTGGACCTTGATGTAAGATTTATTGAATATTGATCCTAGGCGGGAGATGTTCGATAAGTGCACAAACATTCTCAGCATTTGAGGCTTCTCCAGAGAGCTAGGTCTTGGCATAATGTGTCTGAAATAGGATAATTTGAAACTGGGCATTTGTGCCTTGAGTGAAAACATTGGGGTCATTTGCTCAATGATCTGTTTGTTTTCTTGGCTGTCCACTGTATGCACAAAAGTCTTCTCCAACTTTTGACCAAAGCTTGAAAGCAT